ATGTAATTTATTCCTGTGATGCAAAGCTGAATTTTCATCATCATTACTCCAGGCTTCAGTGTCACATGATCCTTCAGACATCAGTCTAATATGCTGATTTGCTGCTCAAGAAACATTTATCTGACTACGTATATGGAATAACCGTTTTATAAAAGCAATAAGCCCCGAGAAGCCGTGGTTTACAGTACATTTATAACAGCTAAGAATGTTTTAGACTCCGCTTCACGTCATACTTAACAATGCTGCTTAGCTGTTATAAATTCACTGTAAACCACGGCTTCACGGGGCTTATTGCTTTTATAAAACGGTTATTCCATATACTGTACGTAGTAAGGTTTCACAGAATAAAACAGAGCAAATAAAGTGTAATGATATTAATAAAAACAGTATTCTTCCACCAAACAATGTAGTTCCTCAGAAACAGTTGTGCTTCCAACAAAGTGGTTGCCGAGCAACACACAGAAGTAAACAAAGGTGTATGTTTGTAGAGTAATTTACAACAGCTTCGAACGCGGCTCAACCAATCAGAATCAAGGACCGGAACTATCCGTTTTATAATAAATATTTTATGTTAATATGCAATTAATCATGATTAATTAGTGAAAAACGTGTGATTAATAAGATAATTTATAAAAAATTTTACAAAAAATAATTAATAAAAAAGTCACCATCTGGGTTTAAATATGCAAGAACATTTGCTTAAGATTTTGGGATTGAATCATTATTACAGTTATTAATATCTTTGTGACATGTTGTATGTTTGGAAATAATTCTTTTAACTCTAAGGGGCCGTTCACACAGAATGCATTTTTCCATTCCAATGCACGACGTTTCCATTGTTTTTCTATGTAAGTGCGCTAAATGGACGTGTATGATGGTTTCACGTATTTGCAGCGTTTCGCACATGAGTGCCTGTTTTTAAGACGCCTTGCCAAGTTAAAAGAATTTCAACTTTTACATGCAGCGCCGCTCATCAATGTCAGTTCCAAAACAGTGGACCAATCAGAAGAGCCCAGAGGCGGGGCAAGCGTTGCAAGCTTTTGTTTACAGCTGAAAGTCGGCATGGCAACTGTTTTATTTGATGGCAACAAGGCGGAGAAAGCATTCTGTGCTGCGCTTTAAAAAAAAAAACCATTCCTGAGAGCTGCGTCTCGCATTTTTAGACACAAAGACGTATTCTGTGTGAACGGCCCCTAACTGATGCTTTGTCTGAAGACAGACCCATATTCCAGGATGACAAATGATTAAAAAAAAGTTACAAAATGTTCATCCATCGAAAATGAAGACCAGCTGCCTCATGAAGGCAGACCATTTCACTTCTCGACTCGAAATGCGAGAATGAGCCAAACGTCTTCCGCTGCAGATGTTAGATTCAGGGTTTGATTTCACGGATCGGTAAACGTGAATGTTTGTCCCTAGGGTTTTTTCTGCAAGAGTGAGGAGGACTTTGACAGCTGGTGTGATCTGGTTCAGCAGGTTAGACCGATCAAGAACATGATTTACCAGCTTGCTTTCTTTACAGTTTTAACTTGCTCTCATTAGTTCGCTCTGATTTTAAGGAGCTCCTCAAGAAAAGAAACCTGCGGATGTTCGAGCTGGTCGAGAAACACCCGTCTCATTGGCCTCCGTTCGTTCCTCCCACCAAACCAGAGGTGCAGACCACAGGAGCAGGTACTGAGGAATAAGCACAGCAGCATTGTGTGCTCAAATTTTCAATGAAGCCTGTGTGATCCATTAGCAGGATATTCTTAATGCATGCATAATACCTTATTAAGTGAAGAAATGAACACATTATATCCAAGTTACAATGGATTATAGTTCCCAATCCCATAGTTACAATGTATACAAGTCTCAAGAGAAATCTAAGGGTTTTTCTAAGGCATTATATAACAAATACAGGCTTTGTAGCAAGTGATTCAAAGAAGACTATGCAACATAACCATTTGTTTCATAACCTGAATATCATTCTTACCGCCTGTGCTCATTCTTCTAGAGTTCATCGAGTCCCCAGACAAGCTTTTTGAGTCAGAAGAGGAGTTTGAGATCCTAAATGTGTGATCAGTCCACGGATAAAGCCTTGCTCTGCTCCACACTGCACAAGTGCCTCAGATCAACACCGAGCACACGCTTCCTGCACGCAAAAAACAGCAGCAGAGCAGAAAAGCCTATCAGTGAGGAACATAAGAAGCCAAGGATCCCGTATCAACTTTGTGTGACGTTTAGCCTCGTTCAGAGGCCGTGTAAGAGACTTGTGTTTTTAACTGTGGAAACAAACTGAGAACTCGTCGTGTTCGCATGAACTTTTCCGTACTGTATCATGGAGAGGTGAAGGCTTTGATGAGGATGATATCTTTTACAACCTCAACACACTACCTCCTGACTGCAGGAGATGGATCATATGCAGACATCTTTAATTCAGTGTTATTCAAGGAAAAAAACGACAACTTTATTGGTTAATCAAGTGCCTCTCTTTATGACATATTTATGTTTCTGACAGGTAAAGGTGATGTTTCCTTTCCTTATTACAGTGGGTTAATTATTTCACCCAGCCCTGCACATCTGTAAATATGGCTTCAAATGAAGATATTTAAAAATGTTTAGCGCGGTCCTATCACGTTTTTAAAAAAAGAAATCAACTGTAAAGATACTAAATTATGAGATCCTATCATTTATCGGTGAATATTGTCCCTTTCATGTCCACACTGTCTTTGTATGTTTATAAAAGATGACAAATCTGAACAGGACTCTTCTTTTGTTTATGTCTAAAATAATGTGTTATATAATATTAATATGTAACTTATTCAAAGAAAAGATTTATTGCATAAATTACAAAAAAAATTACTAACCCTAGTAAAAAAGGAATATATTTCAAATGCATTTATTTCATACTAAGTATAGTTCAAATCTATTAACATATTTACTGACATCTCACTCGAGACTTACTGATATAAAAATGTGGATTACTGCTTGTGCACAAGGCACGTTTCTTAATATTAAGCTTAAAATGAAAAAAAAAATTTTTTATATCACTATTGGTGAGGATTATATAATCTTTGATATTTAAAGTGTACCTGAAGTATACCTGCAATAGTTCCACTTCAATCAAATATACTTCAGTGCATCTTTAGTTGGACTTCAGCACTACTTCCACACAACTAAAGTGCATCAAGTACAAAATTAGTTGTTCCAGTTTAGCAGACTGACAAGTATATAGCAGTTTAGTATACTAAAAGTACAATTGCAGGGTATTTTTATTAAGTACATAAATATGTAAATGTATTTGTAGTATACTTAGCATGAAATAAATGTATTTCAAATAAATTTTTGTATATTTCATTTTCACTATAGGGAAGTAATTAAAGAAATACATATATATATATACACACTGCCGTTCATAACTTTTTGGGTAAGGTTTTGATTTTTTATGTATTATAAATCGTACATTTTTTTAAATGGATGCCTTAAATTTACAAACACAAAAAAAACATTTATAATGTTAAAGCATGAATAAAGCTTTGCTGAGAATAAGAAACATTAAAAAAAAAAACTTACTGAACCCAAACATTTGAACAGTAGTGCATCTTTGTGTTTTAGTTATTTAGCTCTTTTTTGTTTTTAAAAAAAAAAAACATTTAGGAAATGAAACTCGATTTACTAATGGATTATATATTCATATATTTCCTAATTGTTGCTTAACTGTAAATATTCTCTTTTTGGCCAGCAGAGTGCAGCAGCTAACAACTAAGATACAGGACAAGGAAGTGGAAAAACTGGGGTCTTAACATGTCCACAGCAAAGTTGCATCATACTAGACATGAGAAATCACAAGCACATGACTCAGTCAGGGATACCTTGGCACTTTTTTATTGCAATAGCTCTATTACAAGCAAAACCCAATCTAATAAATATACACGAAAAAAAAAAATATATAAAAATGCAGAAGTGACCAAATAAAAAGAACAAAAAAAAACACCCTCATCCTTGAAACCAAGCGAGGTGCCGTGTAGCGTGTTGACGAGAGAAGGGATATCAAAAATTACAATATTTACAAAAGGAAGACGGTGCTGATAATGGTCTGCTTCAGTCATTATTATCAACATGTTTCAACCCAATCACAAGCTTTCAGCGTAAGTGAGTACTGACCAAATGAACAGCAAATTGTTGACAGACTTTGCCCATCTCTTTTTTTTTTGTCCAGCTCTTCCTTTCAGTCACTGTAAAAGTTGCATCATACTAGACATGAGAAATCACAAGCACATGACTCAGTCAGGGATACCTTGGCACTTTTTTATTGCAATAGCTCTATTACAAGCAAAACCCAATCTAATAAATATACACGAAAAAAAAAAATATATAAAAATGCAGAAGTGACCAAATAAAAAGAACAAAAAAAAACACCCTCATCCTTGAAACCAAGCGAGGTGCCGTGTAGCGTGTTGACGAGAGAAGGGATATCAAAAATTACAATATTTACAAAAGGAAGACGGTGCTGATAAGGGTCTGCTTCAGTCATTATTATCAACATGTTTCAACCCAATCACAAGCTTTCAGCGTAAGTGAGTACTGACCAAATGAACAGCAAATTGTTGACACAGACTTTGCCCATCTCTTTTTTTTCTTCCTTTCAGTCACTGTAAAAGGCAAACGACACAATTCCAAACAATATCAGTATCCCCAAAATATAACCTCAGTAAGAGCCCCTAGTATAAAAAAAACCAAACACAAGTTGGATTCCAAGAAACGGTATACTACTGGTTTTTTTCATTTCACATTTTACATTAAAGCAAAGCAATATCATGACACAATAGCATGACAAAAGCTAGTCAAAGAAAGATGGGAAAAAGTCACCGACGTATGGTTTCGTCCCAACATAATCTGGACTACTAGCGTACACATCTTACTACACAGCTTTCAACCACAACCTCAACCCAAAATCTCTTCATATAAAGCTTCCAGGTACAAGCAAAAAAAAAAAAGACCCTAGTAACTCTTAGTTAAAAAAGGCTCGAGAGAGATGAGGGGAAAACAGGTTGTCTGACGTTGTATATACATTGAACTCCCCCTCTCAGCAAGCACTATATTCGTACGAATGCGCTCACCGGCAAACGGTGAACGCCACTACACTGGATTCAATAAATAAACACAGACGTTTAATAAATAATCAATAAATTAACAAAAACGACACGTGGGGAATGCAAAGTAGCACGACGTTATCCTTCGGTACTGTGGCAGTTCGTAAGACTAGTAGTGAAATGCAAATACGTAACCACAAGAAGTAGTAAACATCGTCGTTTTGTGAGCGGTGGCTACATCGAGGCTCAAAAACACTCCCAATTGATGTAAACAAGAATATTTCAAACGGGGACAGAACAGCCGCGGCGTTTTGCATCTCAGAGTCGGCAATACTTGATATCGCACTAATACAGGTGAGGCCTAAAGGATTTTGTGAGCGTTTTCCCAACGGCGTGAACGGGAGGTAGCATCCGGTTAACTCGGAAACACTGTCTCGGCTAAAAAGTGCTCTCGTACTCGTTTCGAAGCGTGTCGTGCTTTTGAATTCGCCTGATGTTGCCTCATTTCTCAGACGCTCTCTCGTAGGGGACGTTTTCATGCACCCAAAACACCGAGCGAGATGATTTCATAACTGTACACAACGAAAACAACAACAACGCGGTCTTCACAGAAGTGGCCTGTGGGACAAGTTCGTTCACTGTTAACCCCTGAAAAAATACTCAGTTACTTTATACAAATAAAAAAGGGCGGAACTAAGTACGGCGGAGTGTCAGATGATACTAAATGATACTCGATATACAAGCTTCTCCTATTTACATCCGATTTTGCGCGGAGAAACATACACCTGTAACCTAAGAGCTACGATGCGTTTCATATCGTACACACAAAAATAGAAGTGCTAGATATCTGAAGCTCACAGTTCTAATTTAGCGATCCCGCTCTAGTAAACAAGACCGAAGACAATAAAGAAAAAAACTAAACTAATATTATCATTCGGACAAAAGAAACCGGTTGTTGAGGCAGTTCTGTGGGAAATACAGAGCATAAGAGGTTGTGCAGTTTCTCAGTCTTTGTTGTTGGAGGTCTGAGGAAGAGGAGGAGGAGGCGGCTTGCTCTTCGGCGTTCCAGAGTTCAGTGGATTCTCCGTGTCCTGATTCCCCTTCGGGCACCAGCGTTTGACTCATTCAATCTGCAAGGGTGAGGAGACAGATCGCACGTTATGAAATGCTTTAATGTGGTTGATGTTTGCATTCCTGGAGCTCGGACAGTAGAGGTCGTGGGCTTGATTTCCAGCCAATGCATGCTCAAATGTACAATAAAAGTCACTTTGGACATCAATCAGCTTAATTCTTTATGAAGCAGAGCTCATTTATATATTGAAACCACACAAATCAGTAGTTTTTTTGTTTTGTTTACTATAGTAGTATTAAATGCTTCTTATAAGAACAGACTGATAAACACTTTATGGTGTATATATTTTAACCCATTAGGAGTTTTGTTACAGCAGATGCTGATTTTAGAAAAAATATAACCATTATAGAAATCAGGATAATGATTTTTTTCTCTCTCCAAAATCGTGTACGCTTTATGAAAATATTAATAATATGCTTTTTTGCTTCATAAAGAAAACAGGATCCATTTGTTTTTAGTGTTCCTAAATTCTTAAAATGCAAAAACCTGCTGTTATTTGTTTTTATAGGTTATTTGATTGCAGCAAATATACACCTCTCATCTCTTAATGATGAGCTTGAGAGAAAAATAACCTTTAACCTTTACTTATATTCACTGCAAAAAATGATTTTCTTACTTGGTGTTTTTGACTTGTTTTCCATAACAGATATCTAAACATTCTAAAAATCGAGATATATTTGCTTGAGAAGCAAAATGACTTTTCTGAAAAGAATATTAAAAATTTTTAGTTTTTGCTTAAAACAAGAAAAAAATATATGCCAATGGGGCAAGAAAAATAATCTTGCTTTCCCTTTGATGATTATTTTCTTACCCAATTGGCAGATTTTTTTTTCTTGTTTTAAGCAAAACTAACAATTTTAATACATTTTTCAGAAAACAAGACTTAATATCTTAAGTCATTTGGATCTCAAGTAAATATATCTTGATTCAAGAATGCTTAGATGTTTGTACTTGAAAACAAGTCAAAAATACTAAGCTAGAAAATCATTTTTGCAGTGTTGGTATGGAATTCTATTTGTTGTTCATTATAAGTGTGAGTGCAAGTCTCTTTATAGCTTTTATAAATACTGTAAGAAAAATCACTTAAGCTTACTTGTATGACAATGTGAGTGCAACGTTACCCGCAAAGTTATTTTTGAAATCTATATAGGTGAGCACGAAAAAAAACCTTTTGTAGGACATCGGAAGCAAGAATGCATCTGTGATAGACCAGAAATCAGCATTCAAAGAAAAAAAACAGCATTTTAAATCTTCTTGGTGAAAGGTTTTACTTGACTGTTAAAATTGTGAAAGCAAGGTTTTTTAGGTAAGTGGATTCCTTTAATATCATATTTGCACATCACAACTCTGTGTTTGCACAGCTCTGTGCACATGATGTGCTCATTTCCCAGTGTTATTCAAAGTGCAAAACCAAATTTCAAATCATGTTCAATCAGTTCAGAAAATCAGTGAGAAAAAAATAACATCTTTGAATGCAACAGCAACATTTTTCATAGTTTCTCTTCTCACTATAACAACAACATGCCA